GGGGAGAAAAGAAGAAGATAGCGATTGCCAGGGAAAGTGAGAGGGTGAGAGGCTAAGGGGGCGAAACGAAGCACAGCGGGAGCAAAGCTAGAACGAAAGAAGAAAAAGAAAGACAGAAACGAAAAAAAAAAGAAAGAAAGAAAGAAAGAAAGAAAGAAAAGGGTGGAGGTGGAGGTTGGTTGAACGGGAGTCGGCTGGGGCCGAAGGAGAACCACCGTTCTTTCTTCGAGGGGGTGGGGAACAGAGAGTGGCGAAATACCGTAGTTCTAGCCTGGTAAGAAACAAAGAACAGAAAATTGATCGTTTGTTAAGTTTTATGTTCCCCGGGGCAGGCGAGGGTGGTCTGCCGCCCCCACCCTTCTCCGTTGACTTTTCCTCTCGCTCTATCGTTCGTCCTCGGTTTCGTCGGCCGGCTCGTCTCGTCTCTTTTCAGCCGCCTCGCGACGCGCAATAAGACGAATCGAGGAAATTCTCCGCCCGGCACTGCGCCGCCAACCAAGAGGTGGGCACGCAGAAAAACCTTCCAAGGGAAAGAGAGAGACAGAGAGAGAGAAAGGGATAGGCGAAACGGGGCTCGGCAGAGAACCGATAGAGAGACACGTGTATGAGGAAAAACGCAAGGGGATGAAACGGATGAACGCTATCGTCCAAGTCAATGGAAGCTGGACGAGATTGGGTCCTCCCGTTGTCGTCTGTTCGCCAGCTTTTTCCACTCTCCAAGGATGGAGTTTAATTACGGAAAAACGCGTTTCTAGAAGTGGCAATTTTTCTTTTTACTTTTTTCTTTTTTTCTTTTTCTTTTGAAAATCGTCGAATTTCTTTCCGGAATCGCACTCCGTTTGACTGGCAACGACGACGATTTCAGTCGCAACCGCTTAATCCGAACCGATTTTTCTAACGCGATTTCGATTCGTCGAACAACTTTTTTGCTCCTGGTTTAGGGGTACGGAAAAAGAAAGAGGAAATGTAGCCGGTGTGTGTGTGTGCGTGTGTGTAGCAATTTAGGCGAAAAAAGGGCGGAAAACTGTGTATCCAATTTACGGAAAGTGAAAATGGAGTACTATGCGTTTCGACGATGATACAATGCACCTGTAACGCGTTAAACGACGCAGAGCGAACGAGCGTGTGCCTCTAAAACATTTCAAAGCGTAAAATAGCTGAAACCGAAGGCACGCGTGGAAAAGGGATTTTAAAGGGAATAGAAGGTTATCGAGTTGGACCAAGGGCAGAGTTTATCACCGTTAAAGGGCTACGGATCAGCTATAACAATTATTCTTTCGGTTTAACATCCACGGATATTCTAACGAATTTTCCCTTTCCAAAATACCAGCTTTTTCATGTACGTGCGGATTTTAAATTTTTCATCAGCTTGTTCAGCTCGCCCAGTATAAAGACACAAAACGTGTCAAATATTAAGCATTTCCACGTTTCCTGTTGGAATTAAGTGACACGTGTCAATTAATCCGCCAAGTTGAATCATTTATATAGAGTAAAATGTAAAATCCGATGGTAATGCGATAGTAACGAAGATTTTTCCGCGCGTTGCCTTTTCGCTACAAAATAAAACACGCGATACCAGGCTTTCGACAAGCCAAAGTTAATACGAATGAAAGGGTTTATAACAAAAACGATCCTTGTCGATGATCTTCCCTCCCCAAAAAAACAAAAGAACACTCCAATTGAAATTTAATGTCAATTGAATTCTTTCATCATACTGTACGATTGTTGCAAGTGTCTCTGCAATTATATCAGAATACGATCGTATTCGATTAATTTACCAACTTTATCTAATCAAATTGCAAAGTTGCCGATCTTTCAACGATAGACGAATTCCTACGAAAACGATAAATCGTTTTTCGTAATATCGATTGCATCGTACCGTGTGTGTCTCGCTCGTGCCTACTAAAAATTCGAAAGATTTAACAAGGGTTGATTTTGGAAGGGAAGCCGATTAATTTCATGCATCGCAAGATATAATTTTCCACGTTGTACCGATGAATTCGCGGAAATTCGAAGGTTCGTCGTTGCACGTGACAAAAAGGGCAACGCGGGGGAATGTTAAAACGTGTCTTTGTTTACCTTGTGCGCTCTCAGAGTCTTGCCCTCGCAGGCTAAAGTGACGTCGCAATAAGCTTGTCGCTCGAGCAGCTGTGAGAACATGGTCTGTAGGTTGCTGTGATGGTATTTCCATCGTAGGCAATATTGTTGGGGGAACATGTTGGAGGATGACGTCGCGGGTGGTGTCGTTGCTGAACTGCCTCGTTGCTGAAGCATGCGCGGATCTGGCACCGCCAGTAGCTTGTCCAAGCCAAAGAACCGTTCTTGCGGTTCACCGTAATCCCACCGCCTTCCTTCTTCGTTCTGCAACATTAATCTCGGGTCAGGAAGATCGCAATTTTTGACCATTCCACGCAACGCTACTAGCTAAACCAGTAATTACACATTTTGGTTGAATAGGTGTACGTATCTCTCTCTTTCGAGGAATAGGTGTTGCTCGTTCGAAAGCAGGAATTAAAAAAGACACGAGGTATCGAGTAACCAACGAGGCGAACGTTGCGACAGATCGCGGAACGAATCTTTATAGGAAATTACCTTAATTACCAGGCAAAGGGTCGGTTTCTACGCTGCACGATATACGCGTATCGCAATTTAATAGTCGATTTATAAGGCGATAGTTTTCGAGTTCCCACGATACTCGGCTCGGCGAGTATGTTTTCTGCTTGGATATTAATCGGCAAGCTTTCAGCGAGGAGAAGCTAGAAGAAAAGGAGGAATGGAAAAATCGGCGTGTGATAATTAACGACGATAATATTTGAATATTTGATTGGTAAAAAGCTGGCGTGAAAATCCGCAGTCTACGCCTAAGAGAAAATTACGTTTGAAAATGACTACACTACGCGATTCAATAGTACGCTGCAATTGATACGTTTCCTGTTAGGTCATTTTGTTCCGCGCATTTCCGCAACGTCTGGCAAGCGTAGTAGAACTGTTGCGTTTACGACTTTTTATTTCTTCCGGTTCTACGTTAGTTCGATGCTACAGTTCGACGCTATTTACAACGCATCCGCGATGTAAATGAGAGTGGAGCGTGCAAACAGGGGAACACGAGGAAATAGCTAACGCACGGAAACTTGCGTACGTTCGAAAAAGATTCTTACAGAAGGTATCGGTCGATGCGCAGTCAGTCGACAGGCTTGTTCTCCAAGTCGAAGCAACCCGGACCTCTGTCAACCGGATGAATGCCTGCAACACGGTGGCCTTCGAAGCATTTACACGCGAGTCCGTTCGAACGTGTACCTCGATCACGGCTGCCCCTGACGATCCTCGGTCTCACGTGTTTTCTCTGTAACATGCGGATAAAGGGATTGGCCATCAGACAGAGTCGATCTGAGAGTGCAACGCGCCTTAAAAAATTCCATCTTCGCATCCGTTTCGTTCGAGTTTCTACTCGAAACAAAGCTACTTGGAGTTTCAGTTTCATTCACCGAAGGCTCCACCTGATTTAGATATTAGCAAATCAAAGTTATTTGATTACGCGTTAATCAAAGAAGACGATATTTTTGACGTGGTACGTGGTACAATTTATCGATTATCGGAACACCTATCGTCGGTTATGGAAACATCGGTTGATAGAAATACGATACTGAACCTTCTACCGTGTCTTCGTTTATGGAATTTGCTATTTTTGTTACAGGTAAATAAATAGTAATATCTTATACCCATGAGCGCTAAAACCAAGTAAAATTGATTCGTCTTTGTTAACTCTTGCTTCTATGAATATAAATGTTTCTCGTTAAGGTTCGATTACAGAATTAGATTCCAATCGTGTGGATCTAGTTCGATGAGGTTTATGTATCTCGCTTTTGTTTTTCTCCTCGTCGCCCCTGCTAATTTTCATTAGTTTCATTTAGATCGATTATATTATATTCAGTTTGAACCAGTCGCCGATAGCTAGTTTTCCATCGTGTACCGATGACCGATAGAAACACCAGACGTGGCAACGTGTTTAATTTACAACTTCACCGAGGGATACGACCGACTGCTTTTATGAAGCAATTTGCTGCGATGCTTACTCGCTTATGACTTCGCTGGGCGGTTAAGTACAGAGGAAAGAAACTAAGAAATTCCGCTCTCGGAGAGTCTAATAATTGCTTCCTACCATCGTTTGTCTCGCAGCAACGATATTAATTGATAATTGAAAAACTTTCTGAAAAACAGATCGAAGGATCTTTGTTGGATAATAACCGCAAACGAGCGGCACGTGCGCGACTCAACGTTACACAGCAACGTGTTAATTACATTGGTAAAAATTCGGATTTTTGCGCGAACGTCCGCGATCCAGCGGTCGTCGATTCATCCTCCTTAAACAAAATCATCGAAACAAGGACAAAGCGTAAGAAATCCATCACTTAAAAATTGCAATTCCTTTCGAAAATTCCAGGAATTAGATTAGAAAGTTGTAACGAAGAACAGAATGCAGAACGAGGAAATTATTTCTGTTACGTCTAATCCAACGAGATTAGATTACCGCAGCTGAGAATTTCTTCTGCAGTTGTTTGAAAGATTGGAAACGAAGGGAGATCGATGCGAGGAACGGGATGATTTCGCGGGGGAAAGAAAGTTGCTGGGAAAACTCCGGGAAAAAGAAGTTTTCATTGCATTATCTGGAAACGATTAACGGGAGCCGCGTGTATCTATTAGCATAATTATCGAGAGTGACTTTGTAAAATCGTGAAAGTCGAATATCGACATTTAACTTTCATCGGC